TATTATGATTGCTATTATTGATTTTATTATATGATCACGATTATTAATCATGATTATATAATATTAGTTATGGCTTCAATGAGTAACACTTTTAAAATAAGCAAAAAATTCATAGAAAATCTGGATGCAACTCTTGTTGCGACACGTGCAGTCCTCAGGGGGTGCAAATCACAGTAAAAACTAGGCTTTCCAGTATGCGCTTAATTAGCATTATGATTATATTTATTGATTTTGTCGCATAATCATGATTATTAATTATGATTCCGATGAGTAACAGCTTCTTTATATTGTTTATTGCATCATTGCAATTTTACTGAATATACGTAGCGTCTGCCAGTTCTTGTTGTTGTTTCTGGGTCTGAGATCCGAAGCCATTGAAATGTTTTGAAGCCGCCGCGTTTGCAAGGAGAAATGGTTCGTTACGGAAATGAGAGATAACTAGCGAATATTTGTTTTTGCGCGATCGATCGAGATCGAAAAGCGAAAATTCGATCGAAAGATTCGGTCCCAGGCACTAATCGATTTCCACGTACTGTTTTGGAAGAAATTAGCCCAGTAGGGAATAACGATATGAAAAAAATAGGAGCGATTGGGGTTAAAAATAGAGGCTTAGAGTGGATTTTTGGGTTTTTTTTGGGGCTTAGAGTGGATTTTTCAGGTTCGACTGCAACTTTGGGATACCGCTGGCCAGGAGCGTTTTCGATCGTTAATCCCCTCCTATATTCGCGACTCGACAGTTGCTGTTGTCGTTTATGATATAACAAGTTTGTTTTTTCTCTTTTTTTCAATTTTTGGTTAGTAACATATGCAAAAAAAAAAAATGCACTGCGGCAAGATCTCGTCCGCCAGGTAATTTAACTCCAGAAATTCAACGTCTAGGAAGCTGATTTTTTGAAAACACAATGCTTGTGCGTACGTATGTGTGTGTGCGTGTGTGTGTGTATATATGTGTGCATGTGTGTATATGTATGCGTGTGTGTATGTGTGCGTGCCTGTGTGTGTATATGTGTGCATGTGTGTATGTGTGTGCGTATGAACACGTAATGGGGCGCCTATTTCTTGATGTAATCTGTACCTGCCATGGCTGTATGTGTATCGTAACAAGAGTTGCATCCAGACTTTCTATAAATTTCTTGCCTATCGTATGTGTGTGTATGTGTGTGCGTGTG